CTTATCTTGTATGCCCTTCCCCCAAAGCTTGGTGACATCGTGGAAGAGTAGGAGACAGGATTAAATGCCAGAGGTCAGAGCAGACTGCTGTGAAGCAATGTTTTCTGGACATGACATGGCTGTTGCGCTAATGAGCTCACAGTAGGTATGGTTGTTTGTACAAGTTCAAGCCAGACATCATGGGAGCATCAGTGAGAGAGGGGCCCATGAGTCCCCCTACAGCTGAGAAACTGTTAGCAGTTGATGGCGACTGCGAGAGGGGGTACACACTATATAACTCCAGTGGTATGACATTCTGAAAAAGATGAAACTACAAAGATAATAAAATAAAAGGATGATCATCAGGGCTCAGGAAGAAGGGAAGAGAGAGACGCAAGAGGCATGGTTTTCTTGACCATGCTCTAGCGCGGTGGTTCTCAACCTGTAGATCAAGACCCCTTTTGGGGTTCAAATAACTATTTCACGTATCTGATACCCTGCATATCAGATATTTGCATTACAACTCATGACAGTTATGAAGTAGCAACAGTTATGAAATAATGTTATAGTTGGGTGTCACCACAACATGAGGAACTGTATTAAAGGGTTGCAGCATTAGGAACATTGAGAAGCACTGGACTAGGAGATAGTTTCATGCACATTTTGGTAGAGCTAATTTTGGACTCAGAGGTTTATGAAAACAAAGAGAAGAAGAGGGTGAGGAAAAATGGAAGCAGAAGAAGAGGAGGAGACATGAATTTGGGAGAGATACAGAAGGAGTTAAATGGAACTTGGGATGAGGATATGATCAAAATACATTGTATTTGTGCGTGAAAACCTCAAGGAATAAATTGAACATTACATTTCACAAAAGAAGAAATGTGGAAGGTAGGAACCATTTTATTTCTTGGAAGATTATGGAAGGAAACTAGATAGGAGTTTGTAATATCTGATTTTTAAGTTAGGTCTAATGTGGTAGCTTTGCAATTTCTCCATAAATTACTAGTAGCATCATAGTGACAAGAAATGAGACCTCCTCAGACATCTACACTTGTCAATAACTTTTCTCCCTGCTCCAAGTAGTTGGGCTGACATGCCCTCATTGCAGTTTTGCATAAGCTGTCCTCTCCTGCAGCTCTCACAGTCAAAGAGCCTCTGATTCCTGTACTGTACTCTATAACCTAGCTTCCATAAACTAGCCCCAACTTATTTAATAAATCTTGCAACCCCCAGAAGGCCTCCAGTCTTCCCTGTGGTATGCCTCAAATCCAAATCAAATAAACCACAGCACAGAACCAGATGATACCAAATGTTGGGGTTGGGAGATAGTCCCTCTCTCATTTGTTATTGCCAGAATATGCAAAATAGTAATTACTTTGGGAGAATTTTGGCAGATTTTTACAAAGTTAAACACTGTCTTAGTATAGACTCCAATTATACTCTTTGCTTGCTTGGTATTTGGCCAACAGTGTTGAAAATGTGTGTCGTACAAAAACCAAAACACAGAGGTTTGTAGCACTTTTATTCATAACCACTGAACACTTGAAGCAACAGAGATCTCTTGAAAGAGAAAGTAAATAAACACATTACAGCAAATCCGTGCATTATGCATCACTATGCAGTAATGAATAGAAATGAGCTATGCGTGCAAGCAACTTCAGTGGGGTATTGACAGTCTTCAAATGTACATTACATACTACTCCACTTATGCGGCACTCTAGAGACAGTAGAACTATGAGGACCATGAGAAGAAAGATGATCGCCAGGGTTCAGGAAGAGGAAAGGACAGAGAAGGGACTTGATAGGACAGCCCAAGTACTCTGCAGATACTCTAGGAGATGTGGGACATTGAACATCTGCTAAATCCAATAAATGTCACGCTGTGAACTTTAAGTTATACAGTTTTATGAAATCATTCAGGAAATCAAAGGACAGCATGAATATGGAATATCCCTGGATAATTTTGTGTGTGTGTAACAATGCCAAATGTTTAAGGAATCTCACCTAATGTGTGTATGGTGTCTGTCGGGTGGGTGGAATCCCTGTCTCAACTTTAAAAGGGAATGGCACATGTCAGATTGAAGCAAAGGAATTGCACAGGAGCACATTATTTACTTGATGAAATGTTATCTCTCATCCAAGTACAGAAAAACAATTTCGACATATATGCTACTGCTCTGTATCTATCATTTATATATTTAGGCATATATCCATGTAGCTAAATAACTATCTCTATGTTTTTATAATATGTATCTATGGATTTATGTATCTGAATTTATATCTATGCATTTGTTTATCTATTTATCTATGGTTCTCTATATACGTATTTATCTATACATATATTATTTATGTGTTTATGCATATCATCATGTATATATATACCTATGTATCTATCACCTATGCATCTATGTAGCTATTATCTATGTATCTACACTTGCATGTATGTATGAACTATCTATCATCCATCTGTATGTCTATATAATCTCTGTATTTATCTATACTTTCATTAATTAACTAAATGACTGAGATACTGTAAGATCCATATTTCCCACGGTTGGAATGAGAATTTATAGAGATGCACTGAGGAGAGGCAGAAATGGTCTATATAGTTACGAATCATGTTTGGTGGGATCCATGATAATTCTGTATATAATTATTGTAGATACAAATGGTTATGGATGCAAATATCCATAGATCTATCCATCTATCTACCTACATATCGATTCAGGTTATAACACATTCAAATATTTCCTTGCCCTATTCTAATGTAGTATTTTTAAAATAGAAAGCACTCCTCCCATGAGTTGGGGAGACACAAATACAAAAGAAAAGCATATACTACTCAGAATTTGTGAGGACCAGCAGGGGGACTCAGTACTACAGACATGCTTAGTATTTATAAAGTACTGGATTAAAATTCCAGCAAAGAGGTGTGGATTTTGTTAGGTATGGTGCATTCCTCAAAGCAGGCAAGTATGCATACAAGTGAGGAGAAGTTGGGGAGACATGTGTGCATAGGGCAGTGGGTCACGGTTTCTGTGCCTTTACTGATATTCCTGAATAACTGAATGAGTAAGTGAATAAGAAGAGAGGAATTCCCATTGCAGGATCATCCCAAGGGATTATGTAGATGCTCCACGATTACCTACTTCAGGAAGGAGAAACATAGCCCCCCCCTTAAGTCACTGTGCACAGTGACTTCCTTCCCATGGGAAGTGGAAGGAGGAGAAGGATTATACCTTCATAATGGGGAAACCTTGCAAACACCATTTCAGCCAGGTAACTGAGTCAATAACAGTAGATACGAATCATGTGGATAAATGAGCCTTGGGTGTGATGGTGAGACAATGATACCTGACTGTGATCGGCCTCCTCGGACTCACACCTCAGTCTAGTTATCAGAAAATCATCAGGTAGCCAGGAGGTGGTGGTGCACACCTTTAGTCCTAGCACTCAGGAGGCAGGGGTTCAAGGCCTGTGAGTTCAAGGCCAGCCTGGTCTACAGAGCGAGTTCAAGGACAGAATCCAAAGCTACACAGAGGAAACCCTGTCTCAAAACCCAACGATAACGACAAAAAGAAAATCATCAGGCAAACTCCAATAGAGGGGCATCCTAAAAACTGCCTGACCAGTACTCTTCCTATCAGAGCTATCAAAACCAACAGCTCCAGAAGGTTGTCACAGTCTTCAGGAACCTAAAGGTGACATGATAATTAAATATGAATGTGGATGGAACCTGGAAAAAAATGGGACATTTGGTATAAGCTTATGAACTCCAAATAAAAGCATAAGGTCTTTAAGTAGGTTTAATTGTACGAGTAGGAATTACCATCTGAAACTATCAGTTGAAACAGATAGAGAAGGGATTTAGGAATCCCTACCCTTTCTGCACGTGATGACTACTTGGGAAGGAAAAAGCCGATTTCTTAAGGTTCTGGGCTCTGGTAGTTCAACCATGCCTCGGTATATGCCCCCAACACATGTCAGTATATGTGTAGTACAAATTGGACTCATGTTACTTTAAAAACAAAAATAAGGATATTAAGTTGGATGGGGTTTATCTGGGAGGAGCAATGAGAAAAGGTTAGGAAGAGGAACAGAAAGGCCAATATGATCAAAGTACATTGTATGCATGTCTTACATTTTAAAAGAATTAATGAACATCTTATATTTTGAAAAAGCAGAAAATAGGCTACAGACAGGAGGCAATTTCTGCCACACTCATCATCGGTTAGAGAAGATTTATAAAAATGTTTAAGTGCTGAGTATAAATAACTGTAAGTGTTCTGTTGTGGATGGGTAATCTGTATCAACCCTGATAGCTTCAGGGAACTTCGTGGACAAGGTGGAACAAAGGAGCCCGAAGAAGGAGAGGAGAGCCTTGGAATATTGACTTCTAGCCATGACAGGACGTTGCAGGCATCTACTCACTGGAGCTATGGTTACCTGAACAAATCATCAAAATTCCTGCAAGGATGAAGTTGGGTCTTTAGGACACCATCCCTTGCTGAGGAGCTACTGACAGTTGATGGCCACTGATGCAAGGAAAGTCACATTCCTTTGGAGCTAAGGCTGCTGGTAAGGTGTTCATGCCCCAGTGGGTGGTCACACAGTTATGTGCATATGGGTAGTGCTAATTGGGCTCAATTATTAACAATAATAAAGTAAAAAGAAGACCTGAGAGTGAGAGAGAGATGGAGTGCTACAAGAGTTGAAAGAAGGTGGCCGTAGATGGATATGATCAATATATGTTGTTTAAATGTGTGAGACTTTCAATGACTAAAAATGGTATTCTTTAAAAAGGAAAAAGAAAACAGACCAAATTCTCTCCAGTTCTCAAAAATCTAGACTACTCGTTTCTACATCCTGCTGATTCACACATTCCTCATCATACCACATTTTATGCTTTGTCTTAATATGAGTCTTCATATGGATTCTATAGCACAGCCAAACTCTACAATACTGGAAACACCACTTTCATACTCACAAATGAAGCCAGCAATGTGCATGGCTGTTGGTGATCATTTGGAATCAAATAAGGGAGATCCTAGAGACCCACAATAAAAAATGTTGTCACAGGTAGCCACACCAGGTTCACAGACTGTTTCTTGGAAACTCCTTCGGGTGTACATATAGATATACTGTATGGGATTGTTTCCATCCACTACTTCTCTTTCCTGAATGTGCTCATCTTGAGAAATCACCATACAGCCATCACTAAGCTTCTGTTTTATATCAGGATGACCAATAATATAAATCAATCCACTAGAATAGCACAGGAGCTATTCCATTATATAGCCGTACAGGTTCTTGTTGTCCATTTTCTTCCAGTTTTAGGACAGCGTAGTCAAGAGTTTCACTGTATATCTCAAACCAAGACTCAATGGAAAAGCAATTATCTTCACTTGCCAGGAACTCTTCATAATCAAAAGTGATTTTTGCACATTGTCTAATTTTTTCTGCCCACTTACTTTGCTGTACACCTTTCCCGGAAATATCATTTATCACATGCATACATGTAAAAACATACAATTCTGTAAAAACAAAGCAGGTGGCACAGCCCTCATTTTCATTGTTGTTCCAAACTATGAGCCCAACTGAGTCACTGAACTGTGAAAGAAGTTTGAGCACTTTAGTTGGGGTGTAGTTTTTTGTCAATTTCCTGAAGTTTGCTTTATGCATTTCAAATGACGAAGTTTTCTTACTTTGTTTTTCACTTCCTTCCTTGATGTATGTTCCGAGTTTTTCCACATTCTCTCTTCAAGATGGGGTGCTCGTTCACAATGTGTGCTTTTAACTCACAGTAAGATGGCCTCTCTAAATCAGTGGAGTCTACTGCCTGAGGACATTTTTTTTTCTTTCAACCTCGACCTGAAAAAGAGCTTGCCCTCTAATTCGTCAACTGGCTGGGTGTTTTCTATGATGGTGTCCAGTTCATTAATGAGCAAAAAGAAACCTGCCATCCTTCCTCAGAGTGTACTTAATGATCTCTCCCTTGAAGTCATAGACACAGAGTTTGTTCCCATCTTGGTGAAGTTCTCTACACTTGAGAATCCTTTCATTCTTCTTCCCAAGGGCATGGATGTAAAATTTGATGCAGTCTGTACACACCTGTTCCCAAGAACCAAACACTTGCTTATCTTCTCTTTGCTCACTTTCAGTTTTAGAGAATGTAATGACCACGTGGCTGCCTTCTGGAAAACAATGAAGGGGCCAAGGTTGATGTACCCTTTGATTCCTTCTCTGCCACGCACCAGCCTTTCTTGCCTTGTTGGTTTTCTATCTCTTCTTTCACAGCACTGAGAGTGCTGAGTGCATCATACAAGCTATCTGTCTTCCTATGTGTGACTTTGTATTTAATTTTTTCATTTTCTTTGTGATTTCCGTCTAAGGTGATGTTAATTGTCTTATTTGGGGAAGTGGTCTGATCTTGCCAACATTTCCTAGGTGAAAATGCCCATTGATCATTTGTGTCGGTTTTGTCACTTGCTCTTTTTCTAGATTCTTCCTTAATTTTATCAACATTGCAATCACTCTGCTCTTCTTTGGGGATCTAAAAAATTAAATGGTAGATAGTATACAATTCATAGGATTCCTGTGGGGAAACTCAGTGCCAACCTCAAGAGACTGGTGAGTAGAGATAATCAGAACTTGGGATCCAAAATATAAGCTCAGATTCCTATAAAATCAGTCAGATAATCTCCTCACTGTTATGAGCACTCTTCCCACCAACCTGATCCCAGAGCCACATCAGCCCCAAATGAACACTCAGATACTATATTAATTATGAAACTGTTGGCCACTGGCTATGGCTTCTTACTGGCTAGCTCTGCCTAAATTGTTAACCCATTTCTAATAACCTAAGTATTTCCACATGGTCTTCTCTTACCGGAGAAAGGGTCCAGACCTGTTACTCCTCTTGTGTTCTACATGGTGGATGACTGTGCCTACATTTCCCAAAATCCTTTACCTCTCCTAGTCCCACCTATCTTGCTTTTCTATTGGCCAACAGTGCTTTATTCATCAACCAATAAGACAAACATACACAGAAGAACATTTCCCATCACCTCACATTGCATATGGTAAATTTCCCAACCAATGTGGGGGAAAGACACAAGTTTTATCCAGATATTTTAAATCTACAACTTCCAATGGAGTATTTTAGGTCTTGCTTATTATTTTAAACAATATAATTCTTATATTTGACAAGCACAGAGGTGTCTTGCCCTGGAAATTATATTCATTTGTTTATTTGTTATTGTTTTTATGTTATAGGATTTCATTATGTAACCAAGGCCTCCACAGAACCCTTCAGTTAGTTCCTATTGGCCTCAAACATACGATTATCTTGCTTATGTCTTCTAGTGCTGGGATTTTAGAGACACCTTACCATCCCAGGCTTTATAATTTTTAGTTTACAAGTCTCAAATTCAGAAAGAGTACAGTGAAATGATTTAGTACCAGGTATTCAATGCTAATAATAACAAATCATTAATTAATTATTTGCTCATAAAAACAGTTATTTTTGGTAATAGATGCCTTGATTCATCCAGCATCTAACATGCAAGAACTCACCATTTCCAACACTACATCAATACCTAAGTCTTACTGTCTGAATATGTGTCATCGTGATTGGTTTAATAAAGAAGCTGACTGGTCAGTCGCTGGACAGGTAGAGTTTAGGTGTGACTGGCAAGCAAAAAGAGAGTGTGAAAGAAGAGGAGACATGGAAAGAAACAAGGTAAGCTTGCTGTGTTAAAAAAAAAAAAAAGGTTCCACCATGCGGCAGACCATAGACAAGAAATATGGGTTAATTTAAGTTATAAGGGCTAGTTAGTGACAAACTGAGCCATTTATAATTAATAATAAGTCTTTGTGTGTTTATTTGGGAACCGACTGGAGGGAAATAAAATCCACCTACAAATGGCATTCCAATGTGGGGCTGGAATTTCCACATAAGACCTAACAAAGCTTAATAAAAAATTCTAAGCACACAAACATTGCATTCTGATAATCGTTTTTTCTCAGTGAGACTTGATGCTAGCAGTAAAAGAGGCTTGGCTCTTTTAAGACGCAGCTTCCTGGGTCATTGCTGCTGGCAAACATGGTGTAGCCCTTATAAGAGGCCCTGCTACCAAACACTTAAATGGGGGTCTATAAGTATCAGGTGCTGTGCTACTCTGTGGCACTGTGGACTCAAAAACTTCCCAGAGCTGGAGCAGTAAGCGTGGCTGAAGCAGTAAGTGTACCTCTGCTATGAGGCTAAGCTCTCAGGGAACGGAGGAAGGAGGAGCCAGTCACCACTGCCTTGTGTTAATGCATGAACTAAGCTGAGCCACGCTGGTGACTAACATAGCAGTTTAAGATTCATCAGGGTGGTAGTGGTGAACACCTTTAATTCCAGCACTCTGTGAGTTCGAGACCAGTCTGGTCTACAAGAGCTACTTCCAGGACAACCTCCAAAGCCACAGAGAAACCCTGTCTCAAACCCCAAACCCCTCCCCCCAAAATAAGATTCATCTCATGCAATCAAAGAGCAATACAGATGCTCAGTAAATACAGCCCCAGACAGGAAAAAAAAAACCTTTAAATAGGCTATGGTGTGTTTAAAAATATGTGTAGGCTTGAGAGAGAAAAGAGGATGTATACACAGTCATAGTATAAAAATAGTGTATGAATAATAAAGTCCTTAAAAAAGGAGTAAAATAAAATTACTACCATGTAAAGATAGGAAATACACAGAGAGTCTGGGTCCTGTGTGTTATTGTGTTATCTTTAGATTTTCTGATTCCTAATGAAGGAATGACAGCTGCTAAGATATATTGGATTATTAAAACTGCTATATTAAAATGACCTATATATTCTAAAAATACCTTGACTTCAAAATGGAAGTCAAAAGGTATGTTGTTTTGAGGGAGAGGCTGTGTTTTGATTTCCACAGGAAATGAGAGGCTATGGATTCATTTCATGTTGACATGGATCAGGTTTGATCAGAGAAGACACCCTAAAAATCCTGGCTACATACATCAAGAAATAAACCTAGAAAAACTACAAAACATGTGCTATATATTTTACAGAAGAACTTTGGGTGACTGTCCAGCTATTTCTGTCATCTCATAATTTTGAAAGTCTCTTGCTCTGTAGTTCATATTTACTCAGATAATATTATATCCTTCTCATATCTCTGATGGGGTTGAAGACAAAATAGTTACAGTTACATTATAGTTCTCTCTAATCATGGCAGAAAGTAAGCTCCTTTCTCTCCTCTCTCTCCATAGTCACACACTTTGACATTTACTGTGTGTCATTTAAAAAGGTTAAAAAGAGATTTAAATTATGGTAGCTGTGTGAAGCTAAGGCACTAATTATTATATGAATATTGAGAAATTCTTTATCTAATATCAAAATATAGATTGACATGGGAAATCAGCTTAGCCCTATAATTTCCAAAGACCTATATTCCAGACTAGACTTAACCATTAGCCAGATATGAGAGGACAAACATGCAGTGGAACCTGTCTACATAATGTCCTTTTCTCCTTGAGGTCATCACTGAGCCCCTGAATCAGTGGACGAAAATACATTATTAAAGATATTTTTGGTAGCACACAACTTTGCAGATCCTTCTTGGTGGTCCTGTACTAACCAGGACACATGAAGAGCACCTCTACAGATTGAGGACACATGTGGAGTGCCTTTGCATATTGAGTTAAGTTTACCAATGTCAGACATGCTCACAATTAATCCTTTTTTAAAATGTAAATCACAATTCCTCTCAGATCCTCTCTACCTCCCCTCCCATCCAAATCCACACCCTTTCTTTTTCTTTCTTACTAGAAACCAGTCATCTAAAAACAATAATAAAGTAAAATAAAATAAAAACAAACAAGCCAACTCAGTGGCACTTTTGGAGGGTCTTTGTCTCAATGCTTTGTCTGGCCATCGTTATTAAACCTTCTAGGTACTTTTCGTATATGTTATGCTTTCTGGTTTGTGGTTTGAGGTTTCTGTGATGCAAACGTGTTTCTGTATCTATGTGTGGGTTTTTTTTGTCCTTTTTCTACTCGTTTGCATGTTATTGCCTCTTAAGCATAGCATTTGTCTCCCAGAGCAGGGTGGTACCTCATAACCAGAATGCCTACTGGGTGAATCGTGGCCTCTCTCTTCCGAATTCCTCTTTTCAGGAGTATTAGATTGGGCCTCAGTGGAGATGGGTTGTGGGTAGATGTGGATTTGTATGACTGGGCCTGACATACCTTGGGAAATCAACCAGAGGTGCATGAAGCACAGGACTGATGACTCTGGTGGTGGGTGTAGGCTGTCAAGGTTCTAGCCAGCAGCATAGAACAATTAGCTTCAAGATTTCAGGAAGAACTTGGTCCCAGAGGTCCCAGACTTCGGGCATGTGGAGGGGCACCAGCTATTGCAGAAAGCAGCGACCACTGTGACTTGGGATAGTGGGAAATAGGGGAGGCCGGGGGCCTAAGGTGCTTTCTAAAGGGTACAACCCCCTACAGAGGGCAGGCTTCAGGACTCTGTCAATCAGAAGCTTCAGGTGTCCTTGATTTTCTGAATGTACACCAGTGAGGGCAGATGTTTCAACCCTGATGAAGGAGAGGGTATTTAGTGACTTGTTAGTGTGAACATATGAAGTAAATGTAAAATAAATAAACAAAAAACGTACCATTGTATAGAACAGTCTAAAAAACAGTAATTATCAAACATGTATATTTATAATATGCTGAAATAACATTTTGGAATGGAGTTAAACAAAACAAAATATTAAAAACTAATAACAATAAGAAAGGAGGCAGGAAGGAAGAGGCATGCATCTCACGCATTATCCTTTTGGTGGAGGCACTCTAGTTTACAGACATCTTCACTTGTGTTGAGGACTGTGCTGTAGTCCGACCCAAGAAACCTATCATCTCAGACAGACAAGAATTTCTGAGATACAGAAGCCTGTGTGTTTGCGTGAGGGAAATGAACTCCTCTCTTGTTTAAGCTATCAATTTCAGCAGTTGCTGTCATGTGAATTGTGATTGGCATAAAGATGTGTAACATCCAAACAAGATCTGAGTAGGGTGATGGTTCCTGCACACTTGAAAAATGTTTGATGATTCAGACATTAAAACTGGTTTCCATGAGAAAGTTCAGTTCAACCAAGAAAAAGCAATGCATTGTAAGGGATTAA